TTCCCACATAGTGACGTAGAAATGTGGGGGCGTGTTAGAACGAGCCGTTTTAGGTAGGCTTGGTTGGCTCTTAACTTTTATAAAGAATATCTCTTTGGATTTGAGACTTTAGTCTTTGCAACTTTACAGATCTTCTTTATGCACCAAGAGCTTGTAACACTCCAAAGAGAAAGGAAAAATTGAAATCGCATCATATGACCCCTTTAAACGACTGCGTTCCCAAACAGCAGCATCCACCTCCAAAAGCAATTACTGCATTCATTGTGTTTCGTCTGCTCGTTCTGAGGTGCAAGTAATTTATTATATAGGAAAATTATTATATTCAGTAGCTTCTCCTACTTTTCTTAGTGATGTATAGTGCCAGTTTATCAGGAAGTGATGATTTTGTTCTCTTTGACTCGTTGGATGGAAACAGTGCTTGTTCGCAAATGTTTTGTGCGATATTCCAATTTTGCGCATAAGTTAAATTCGCAACTTTGGATGGAAACCCGGCTATAGTAAGAGTATAGAGCAGGGGTGGGCAAACCTGGCCCTTCCAGGCCACTTTCCTTCAGAGGTTAGCTCCAACCCTAATCAAACACACCTGGACCAGCTAATCATTGTTTTCAAGACTACTAGAAGGCTACAGGCACGTGAGTCATATCAGGGTTGGATCAAATCTCTGCAGGAAAGTGGCCGAGATGGGCCAAGTTTGCCCATCACTGGTATAGAGCTATAAAAGTAACATGGATAGCATAGCTAAGATTATCTGCTTATGGAAGAATTTGATGAGAACATTTCATAATGAATCCTTTGAATTTTGATTGCAGGCAAATATGAGTTGTGTTGTTGAGATCTCCTCTGAAACTCTAGGAGACACACATGAGATTACAATAGTATATTTTTCAGTAGAAGACATTTGTTTGCTTAGCAAACTTTGCTCTCCTTTGAGTTTCGTTGCTACATATGAGAAAAAATTGATATATTAAATCAGTTTTGAGAGGCTTTTAAGAATCTTTCAGTGCATTTTCACATTTTGACCAGGGTCAATATTAGAATCAGAGATGTGTAAAAAAAAACATCTAGATTCTAATCTCAGTTTTGATGACTTTTGACTTGATAAATTCAAGCTCAAGCCATGAAAGACCTTGCATGCATGTGATTTTAGTGATTGTAGCATGGATAAGGTGTGTTGTTAAATAAACACTTCTGTCGGCTGCAGCATGTTTATGGTTGCCAAGCATCAAAACAGCTTTCCGTGTTATATAGAATGTGCACCTGTGTGCATATCTGCAATTTATGTGCCTTTGAATGTGACTCATCCAATCAGAATTTGTTGTGGTAACTATCCATTTTATAAACTCGGATACTCTTGTCACAATTACTGGTGACTTTTGACTTGAGTTGATGATTCAAAGCAGATAATTTCTTCATAGCCTAAGCTAATAAATAGCTGTTATTTGTTAGGAAAGCATCCAATGGAAGATATCTTGTATTCTTCTTGAAAGGTAATCTTCTGAATCTACCTCCAGTGTTCTCAGAGTTTTTTTATAATGATGGTCAACAACCAAGAAGTTAAACATCTGTTTTGAGTATCTGTTTGACCAAACTGGCCACAGCACCTCAGTTACTCCTGCTCTGAGTTGATGCTTGAGTCAGACGCTCTCTAGAAGTGTAGGTACTTTCAGCGCAGGCTGGCTGGTGCAATGATTGCTGTCCTACAGGTAAATGCTAAAATTTTGAATATAATATCTGTTGGCATGTGGTACGAATATGCTGTCTGCAGCACCTACATGGTATGACTTAAACCCAGTGTAAACTTCGCACACAAAGTTGCAAGAAGTTTAGATGTATAATTTTGGCAATAATCACATTGGCATTCAAGTCCAGTTAATGTGCACCATCTGTGCTTTTTATATTACAGCTTTAGCGTATAGCTCTGCTATTAATTATTGGCTCAGTGTACGTTTGATATCAACACACGTTTTGGGTTATCTAATCACAAGTGGTCAGTCAAAAACTGGTATTAAGATCTAAAAACCTCTCATCTGACCAGCTGGATTCATTGCGGGATGGTATGATGATTTGTATCACTTATACGTCAGTGTTCTAGTGCATATTGATGTCATACATAGTGAAAATTTATTGGCACAAGCTTTTCCAATTTTTATTGATGAACATTTTTAAAAACTTTTTTTGTTTTTATGCATTGCAGACACTCTTCGATGTTGTCTTTTTATATCTGTATTTTTAACAATTTATGCTTGTGTTTTAACATCTCAGAGGATGATCAAATGTTAATATTGTTTTTAATTTAAAACTGGCCACAGCACCTCAGTTACTCCTGCTCTGAGTTGATGCTTGAGTCAGACGCTCTCTAGAAGTGTAGGTACTTTCAGCGCAGGCTGGCTGGTGCAATGATTGCTGTCCTACAGGTAAATGCTAAAATTTTGAATATAATATCTGTTGGCATGTGGTACGAATATGCTGTCTGCAGCACCTACATGGTATGACTTAAACCCAGTGTAAACTTCGCACACAAAGTTGCAAGAAGTTTAGATGTATAATTTTGGCAATAATCACATTGGCATTCAAGTCCAGTTAATGTGCACCATCTGTGCTTTTTATATTACAGCTTTAGCGTATAGCTCTGCTA